CAGTTTCAGGACATCGTTGCTTCCACGGAGACTCTGAAGAAGTTACTAGAATGTGTGCACACCTGATGGGTGATATGAAAATAAAAAAATATATGTGGGAAAAAAAACTGAAGAAGTTGGTGTGGTTATGAGTAAAAAGGTGTTAATTATAAGATATGTGATTAGTGGTTATGAGATATGTGATGTTGGTTATGATCAAAGTGGTGTGGTTATGAGTAAAAAGGTGTTAATTATAAGATATGTGATTAGTGGTTATGAGATATGTGATGTTGGTTATGACTCAAAGGGACTAGTTATGAGATGTGGTTATGATTTATGTGGGTAGTAGTTATGAGATATGTGATCAATGGTTATGCGATGTGTGATATTTGTTATGTTTAAAGTGGTGTTGGTTATGAGATATGTGATTATGATTATGAAATATGTGATATTAGTTATGAACAAAATGGTGTTGGTTATGAGATGTGGTTATAACTAAGTTATGATCAATTTGATTATAGTTATGAAAAAATATGATTTTAACTCATAACTATAAAAAGTGACCTGTTTAGCAGGTCACTTTTAATGATGTGCCTCAATCCTATCCATTGATTTTTTATGTACCGTACATTTTTTGAACAAAATGTACTATAGACTCATGTATATTGTATATGCAATCGTGTACTGTTTAAACTGTGGAGATGATGGGTTCGGTGGCTGAATAGCTTTTGAGGATGAAGAGTTTGAATAAAGAAGGGACAATTACACTGCGGTGCTGGCAATAAAATAATTATAAATTAATAAAAAAGTTTATAATTTTAATTATTAACATTTGTAATGCTTTTCATTATTTTGTAATTTCCCCCAATAAATAATGGTAAAGAGAGAATAAAGATCTGATGAGGGTGACCCTGAGTTCGGCTCTTATGGTGGTGAACTGTAATAGTAGTTTGCGTGTAAAAGTTAATTTGTTGATAATGTACAATAGTAATTCCAACTTGTAATTCTAATGGTGCAATATAATTTGAAATAGCACAAGAATTAAATTATATAAGTTCAAAATTGGAGATTAGTTCGCACTATAATATAACCCACGCTTAAGAATGACAATGAGTAGGGTATGAGTTAAAAGTTCCTACCCCACCACTCTCCCCCACCCCACTCAAACCCAAACCCAAACTCAAACCCGCAAATGCAACCCCCACTCCGGACTCTACCTGATCCAAAAATATGAGATATAAATGTGTCAACACCAGCTGCAACCTTTACTTTATATATTAGAATAGATATAGAGAGAATAAATAAATAAGAGTGAATAATTTAACATCTTGTGGTTTACCCCCAAAAACACGAAACCCCTTTGTAGTTTCTTTTGTGGCACTTAAACCCTTAAACTTTATACCATGTTATAATTTTTGACGGATGTACCAGAAGTGCACACTGCCTGATAAAAAAAAAAAAAAGGAGAAAGAAAGAGAGAGAGAGAGAAAGATTGCAACTAGAGAGATTTTTTTCTCTACAATCACTCTCAGGAATAGAGTAGATCATATCACATCTTAACCTATTTTGAGCTCTGTCCTCTCTTTCATGGCCAAATCAACCTTTCAACAACATGAGCCTTAATGGATAATTTAACATCTTGTGGTTTATCCCAAAAACACGAAACCCCTTTGTAGTTTCCTTTGTGACACTTAAACCCTTAAACTTTATACCATGTTATAATTTTTGACGGATGTACCAGAAGTGCACACTGCCTGATAAAAAAAAAAAATAGGAGAAAGAAAGAGAGAGAGAGAGAAAGATTGCAACTAGAGAGATTTTTTTCTCTACAATCACTCTCAGGAATAGAGTAGATCATATCACATCTTAACCTATTTTGAGCTCTGTCCTCTCTTTCATGGCCAAATCAACCTTTCAACAACATGAGCCTTAATGGTGTTGCAGAGACCCACAACAATGGTCTCCTCCAACTCACTAACGACATGCTTCGATTGATCGGCCACGCCTTTTACCCAATTTCAAGAACTTCAGGGTGAACTGGGTTGTGAGCTTGTTTGAGCTCATAATTGTGCTGTTCTGTGTGCTTAGATGTTCAAGAAGTTGGCCGGCGGTCTATTTTCTGACAGCCATCTGCGAATTACAGTTGCTTGGGAGTTCTCTGGTTGTGTCTGGGAGGCTTTCATGTCCCAGTTTTGTGGTTCGACTGAAGGTGTGAATCTCTCCCTAGTTCTAGAGAGAGAAAGATGATGTTAACAGGTGTGGTCTCCGGGTTGGTGCTCTGGCAGTTTATTCTGTGGGTCTTGGTAACTCTCCGGCTAGCTGGTGTTCCAGCTGGGTTGTAGAATAGCCTTGGCAATTCTGTGAGTGCTCTGTTGGTCTGGGTTGTGTCGCCGGTGGTCAGTTTGTTATCAGCGGGTCCTTCGTGTGATATGGCAGGTTGGCTGGTGGTGCTTCTCTGGTTCTTACATTGTTTCTCTGGTGCTTCACTGGGCTGTTTTTTTGTGGTTCAGAGAATACGGAGAGGTCCAGTGGTGCTGTTGAGCGGTGATTTTGTTGGGTTTTTGGTTTTGGCCATTGGAGAGAAAGGGAGTGTTTGTCTCTCTCTCTCTCGTTGCAATCTCTCTCTCTCTAACTTTCACTCTCTCTCTCTCCCCTGTTTTTTCTTTCTTATTTAATTTTTTATTAGGCACGTTTTGTGCACTTCTGTTATATCCGTAAAAAATTACAACATTGTATAAAGTCTACGGGTTTAAGTGTTTTGTGCACTTCTGTTATATCCGTCAAAAATTACAACATTGTATAAAGTCTAAGGGTTTAAGTGTTATAAATGAAATCAGAAGGGGGTTCCATGTTTTTGGGGTAAATCATAGGGGGTTAAATTATAATTTTCCCAATAAATAAATATACCTGCAAATAACTATTGGAAAGATAGTATTTTCAGTAAAAACAGATATAGAAGAGAAATGTCCTGAAACAAATCAAACACAATTAATTATGGAATGAAAAGTACACATACAATGGATAGAACAGCAAAACCATTACAAATTAAAGTACACAAACATAGAAAATCAAACAAATTACAAGGGCAGCAATGCTGAGATGAACATTATTGTATGACAACAACAACAACATACAACTGAATCAACAACGTAGATAAACATAATCCAATTGCCTGCTTAGCTGCTCATTTCATTTGAAGGGATTGTAAGCGGTCCTGGATCGTGAGAATCGAATCCTCCTCTTCATTATCGAATGCACAATAAATATGAGCAATAAAATGGGAATCTTTGTTATAGTATGCCCAACCATTCTTGCTAATCTTGGTGTCACACACTTTACAGTAGACAGTTCTAGAAGTCTCAATGGGAAAATCATAGCAAAGTGTAAGTGGCTTTTTGTGCTTCTCGTAGTAGACAGTATAGGGCGTGCCAGCGCATGCCACGTGGAGATCAAACTTGCAAGGAGAGCAGTGGTAGTGAAAGCCCTCACCAGGGTCGCGACAAGCATTGCAATAGAACTTTCCAGATTCATAACGGGTGGAAGATCGGAGGGTGAGTGTTTCGTCACGATGAGATTTGTGTTTGATCTCTCGTGGAACGTCTTTACATGACTTGTGAATGAAGAATTCACAGTCTTGACAGCCCCAGGCTTTGCCTACAATGTCTGTCTCGCATGTATCACATTGTACTAGGTCTTCCTCCAGCATCTTGTAGCGATGCAGGGCATGGCGATGGCTGAAGTGAGTTATTTCTGTTAAAAAAATTATGTGATTAATATTATTGAATCAATTAACTTTTTTTTAATAAATATATATATATATTTTAAATCTAAAAAATAGTTTAAATTCAACATACTAGTAAACCCATTATTAAGAAATGGTACTACTTATTCCAAGATAATAAGATTTATTATGTCTACATGGTAAATTAATAATACAAGGTAAATTTATTATTAATTGCTAATACTATTAGTTGATGAAGTGATATAACGGTTTTATAACTTGTATTAACTTTTTTAATGAAAGCTTCCCTCTCATGGAACTGCAGAGTCCAATCGAGGGGACTGTGGGCCTGCTGTGAGATTCAAATCATTCATCCTAAAGTTTCCGTCAAGTGCATAATTTATGTAAGAAATGTTGATTAGATATTGGAAGATATTTAGCAAAAATAGTTGGTCTAGAAATCAAAGTTACCATTTTTTTTTTTAGGGAAAGCCTATGGTGGAAATATGTACTCTATTATAAAGGCGTAATTTTATTATAAAATTTTAAAAAATGAGTAATCTCGTCATAAATTGATATAAAAAAAATATATATTGTAACCAAACTACAAACTTTTATAATATCGACAACAAAATTTTAGGCATTTTGTTATCTTAATTTGGGGTGAGATTATATATTTTGTGATTGATGTTACAAAATTTTATGATAACGTTACACCAATTTGTGATAGGGTGCATATGGTATGCACCTCTAAGGGGTGCACATTTTTTTAAGGATAAATTACAAATATGCCTTTTAAAGTTTGTTTAAGATACAAATTGCTCCATGTGTTTTGAAAAATTACAAATGCCCTATTGTCAGAAATTTTTATTTACAAGAGTTAACAAAAAAACTGAAATTTCTAACTACTCTTATATACAATGATAAATTAACCTGAATTATTAATTGAAATAAATTCATGACATCATTAAAGATTATTAATTGACTTCATTATTTATTAATAAAATGAGACATTCGTTATGAAATTAGAATTTCAAGGGATGAGATGTAACTTCTAGAATTACAAGAGACATATCGTATTTTAAGCAACCATAGGGGGTTTATTTGCATTTTACCCCTTCCCCCCCCCCCCTCTTTTATTTTTCTTTTAAGACAAATTTGATTCAATTATTTGGTCAAGGAAAATGATATTCAAATTAAAAAAAAAAATTATATAAAAAATTTTACAAGAATGATGTTAGAGTAGTACTTTGGAAATTGTAAATCGTTTTAACGGATATTTTGATTTGAAAGAAATGAATACAAATATAAATTTTCTATACAATTTTTTTTGGTTTATATATCATCACTCAATGGTTAATAATAATAATAATAATTTTTTTTTTCATTTTTTTCCAGATGATTTGCTCAGAAAGTATTAGTGCTAAAATATTTGGATTACAGAGGTGTGCTCGGAGGTAGGCCAACAACCCCTCAACTGGACCTTCTAGTCCAGTTTTTGGACCAAAGAGAAGCTAGCTATGAAGCATGGTATTTTGAAAAATATGCCGTATTCATATATGGTATTTATCGGCGTATGGTATATCGTATGGTACTTTTACATACGTACCAGGTATACAAAATGCGTACTCAAATTTTTCTTCTTAATTTTTGACATACCCAGACGTACCTAGTATATACCTAAGCCGTATCGTACCTCAGTTGAAACAATATTTTCTTTTACTACAGAGATAAAACTCTTTTCACTAGATTTTTTTTTTTTAGTTTTATACTTAGCATGATTTTAAAATTATACTATGATTTATAAGTTATTTAATATATTGACATTTAATTTTAATTTATACCTTACTTTTGGCATTAAATGTTAATTATAGGTTGAATCTTAATAAATTAAACCATTTAATTAATATTTGCATTACTCTATGCTTCAGACAGCTCAGAAGCCGCGGACAATTTTTACGCTACTAATTTCTCCCCTCTTTAATAACTCAAACAAATGATTAAGACCAAGAGAGATTTTTTTTCCACCTCTCCAAATCAATCAATCCAAATGGATTATAAATTATTAAAAAACAACACTACAAAATCAGAGTTACGAACTCAGAATTTATCCCAAAAAAAAGAATCAATGATTTTAATTCATTTTACTCATGTTAATCTCTATCATTTGAGATAAATTATGAATTGATAAAAATGGATTCATAGCATTTTCTATTGAAAAAATCCCAATCGAAAGAGGCCAATGACCTCAAATCCTGATTAAGAAAAATATTATATATAATTTCATTTCTTACCTCAACTCGACGTTCGAGGAGGATGACTTTGGTGATGGTGTTTTTGTGCTTGGTTGTTAGCACAGCAGCTTCCTCATAAGATGATTCACCGTCTGATCTTCTAACTCTACGCCTCCGGTGATACGAGTAGTGATCCCCTTTCTGTATTTCAACTCCTACGCTCTTCGCCAATTCTTTTCCACTACTCATCTCTCTCTCTCTCTCTCTCTTTTCTTTTTCCTTTTCTCTTTCTGTCTGTGCGAGTTATCTTGTGCTATGTATTCGTGGATTTATATAGAAAAAAAAAAGGAGAAGCTAATATTATAAGAAAAATCATTGATTGCCCCTAGAACGTCACATGATCATATTTTCACCAATCACAATTAATTATATTTTTTCATATTCTCTAATCATCCAATATAAATTTGTGGGCATCACTTTCTCTATCAATCACAATCTTATTGAGACACCACTTGACACTACAAGAAAAAGCATTTTTGGCGACTAAAACTTCATTTTTCGTCGTTGAAAGTAGTAGAATTGGCGACTAAAATGGCATTAGTCGCCAAAATTGAACACTTTTGCCGACTAAAAGAGTTTAGTCGCCGAATACAGGGGTTTTAGTGACTAAAAGGCAGTTTTTGTCGCCGAATGTAGGGGTTTTAGCGACTAAAGGTTGTTTAGTAGCCAAAAGTGATGGTTTTGGCGACTAAAAAACATTTTCGTCGCCGATTATAGGTGTTTTTCGGACTAAAAACAGATTGGTCGCTAAAAATGAAGATTTTTGGCTACAACAAAAAAAATAGTAGCTAAAAACAGTCAATTGGCGACTAAAATTCAGTTTAGTAGCCAAAAGGGGACGTTTTTGGCGACTAAAAACAGATTTAGTCGCCAAAACTGCTTATTTTTAATTTGAACTTATTTTTTTAGCGACAAAAAATTAATTAGTAGCCCAAAATAATAGAATTGGCTACTAAATAATGGATTTAGTCGCCAAAAATGGCCTAAATTTTTTTTAATAAATAATTTATTTTTTACATAAATTATATTGAATAAAAATAATTATACTTATATATATAGTTTTGTATTAATACCGGTCAATATACTATATAAATAATATATATTGCATATATATTCATGTGATGTTGAAGTGGCATAGTGGAGGGAGTGTGTTGCTAAAGGTGTTGGCGGTTCGAATCTTAGAAAAAGCAAAGAAATTGGTTTTTTTTTTTTTCACGGAAGGACCTTTGGCGACGAAAATTTTAGTCGCCAAAAGTGTTTATTTTGGGCGACTAAACCGTTTAGTCGGCGATTCATGGACTATTGGCGACTAAAAGATTAGTCGCCAAATGTGTGATTTTAAAAAGTGTAAATCACTATTGGCGACTAAAAAGTTGGTCGCTAAAGAGCTATTTTTTGCCGACTAAAAAAATTTTAGTCGCCAATGCCTCAGGCGACCATATACACGCGACAAAAGGGGCGACTAAAAAAATTAGTCGCTGAAAATAAAAACTCAACTTTCGGCGACTAAAAACGGACTTTTGGGGACTAAAAATTTAGTCGCCAAATGATCCCTAAAACCAACCAATAACTTCTTGCGGCAAAAAGGGTCGAACAAGATGCCTCCATGTACTACTTAGGTGGCATTACCCTTTTGGGTATTCACACTCTAATCCTACATTTTATACTAATTCATATTTTACCACACAAAATTACAAAATTAAATTTAATTCTTTTAATCATGATTAGCATGATCTATAAAATTATAATTGAATAATTTTAGGTTTTAGAGACTAAAATTTAGGGACAAAATTATTTTTTAGGGACCAAATATTTCAGTTGCGAAAAGTGTCATTATTATATTTTTAGCAACGAAAATTAGACATTAGTGATGGATTATTATTCTTTTAGGACCAAATTTTTTGTCGATAGTGCTACGTAGCTCGAAAGGTGGAGCTCGAAAATATGTTATGGTATCATACCTTGTATCAAGTGGTTGAATCTCTCTTTTGTAATTATCACGATTTGTAATACCTTGACATTTAGTTACATTAACAACCAAGCCAATCACATCTGTATAATTTAGCATTGACATATTTATTATTTTGATAATTTAATTTTTTTTATTAGTAATAAACTATGTAAGTATGTAATCTAGATAAGTATTATTTAGTAAAAATAAAGTACCTATTAATTGAACATCTTAATGAAGAAATTGGCCAATGTCTGATAATTTTTTGATGAAATAACACTGAAATGGTATATTATCATCATGATCAAGTATGTGTACAATTGTTGTATCATTAATAAAAGACATCTTATAATGATGTGGTATCAACTTGAATTCTTCATCAACCAATATAATATGAACTCCTCTAAAACAATATATTTTTCTTTCAATTAAATGTTCTTTAAAGTATCATATTCCTCAGAGCATACAGTTCCTTCCATGGCATCACCCTTTGAAAAAATGTAATAAGTACACATTTTTAACATAAATATAAAATGAAATATTTAACAATTATCTCATGACGAGAGTTGTAAATACCTGTCCATCAATAAAACATTGACAATTATTATTATTCACCACTTTTGTAACTTTCGAAACATCTTCATGTATGTGAACACCCTTAGATTTCGGGAACATAACAATTCCTTTATTTGAATTTGCATTAATAAAATATGTAATGTCAAATCATTTATTATTTGAAG